AGGAGCACATCAGAAACTACTGGATTCAAATGAGGGTAGGGAGGTAAGGCCCCTAAGAGAAGCTGCAGGATGGAGGAGGTGGTAGAAAAAATTTCTTAAGCAGTTCATTAATATTGAATCATTTATTGGATAACTATTTAGGAATTATTGATTTCAAGCAGAGAGTTGCCTGTGGAATCCTTCATAAATTCAAGCCTTCCCAGAGGATACCCCAGTCCTGAGCTATTCTGCCACAAAATCTGACTGAGGAGCCCTGTTCACAAGGGTGGGGTTCCACCCAACCCCCTCATTACTGTAAAGCAGCTGCTTTAAGTTCTATGAATGTAAAAAGTGTGCTCCTGAATGAGGGCTGGCATGAACAAGCTTCCTTAAAATCCTAAAAATTTAGTTGTTAAGCTGATACCATTATTTAGATTCTCTGTCCAACAAAGCACTGCAAAAATTCAGGAGTTTGCTTCAATTAAAGCTGGAGGCATTTAGATTCCAAGGTTTTTAACATGCTGGGGACAGTAACCAGCCTTTTTGGAGGAGGTTTCTGTAAGTGCCTGCTGCTGGCAGCTCTCAGGGATGGGATGTGAGGTGAAGGAGGTCTTTGAGGGTGCAGTACACCATTTCTCTTCCTACTGCAGGTGTTTCAGGTCTCCCTTTCTCCATGCTCTACTCTCTTTCTTTTTTTACCTTCTTTCCTTCTCAATCCTCTCCTCCTCACCAGGCACTGAGGCTGTGTAGCACCTCCCACAATCCATAAGAAGCACAGAAAATCAGGTTATACGTATCTAGCAAAGGGGGTTTAGGTGGGCAGTCAAGCTGAAATGCAGCTTTTGGAGGAGATGTGCTGCTTTGGTTTGTACTGAATTTTATGACAGATCATGAGGCCTGCTCCATCATGGCTGCTTCCCCATGGCCAGGCAGCTCCAGCAAGCCAAAGGGAGTGGTAGTTTTATTTGTGAAGCCACAAAAGCAGCCTTCATCTCTTGCTCTGTCAAGGCTTGCTGCCTTTGCCAGCTACCAGAGCTGATTCTGCTGCATACCTATTAAAAAGGAGTCCAGGATTAATTTTTTTAATGGAGTTGACCCAAGCTGTCAGTCCAAGAACCAACTTTACAAGAGGTGTGTGATGCACACCCACCTCAGTGGTGGTGGAACAGAGCCCAGCAAAGCTCTGCAGGGTGCAGATGAAACATTCCCTGGCTCAGGGTGAGACACAAAGGTGATAAACAGCAGCACCTGGGGAATATTCCCCTTCCCACCTACCGCCACCACCTTCTCTCTTTCTCAAAAACACAAATAAGCCAACTCTATTTGCATTTTCATAGCTGGGAGTGATTGCTAAATTAATGAGCACTGCTATTTATATCTAAATAATAAGCAGTCCTAAACAACTGCTTGGAGGCATCAGTATGAAAGGTAAGATTCTGGTTCCAGGCAGCACTTGTCATCTGAAGGAGGAAAATACATCCCAACAAAACAAAAAAAAAAAAACAAAAAACCAAAAAAACAAAAAAAAAAAAAGAAAAAAAGAAAAGCTTTACAATATTTCAGACAATCTGAGGGAAACTGGAATAAGAAAGTTGTGTGAGTAGCGTATACAGACTTGGCTTGCTTACCAGACTGTGCTGGCCTTAGCATTATTCAGAGGAAATACTTTTGCTAAGCAGCTTCCTTTAACCATCTTAGCTGCCACAACCCTGCTAGGGACTTCAGCATTGAGCTGTCCTGCACAGGGTACTCAGCATTGTTCCCAGGGTGTGTGAAGAGCCCTTGCAAGCCAGCTCTGTCCTCACTGCCTTTGGCTGAGTTTCTGCAAAGTGAATCTCTTGGCTTAGTGCAGAGCTTGTGAGGCCACTTAAATCTCTCTGACCCCTTAATGAAGTTTTTAAAAGGGCTTCATAAATCTTCATCACTAAGAATTGCTTAAAGCCCTGCAGGATTTCTCTAGTGGCATTAACCACTAAAACAACTAGACAGGCTTAGATCTATTTATTGCATTCATCTTCATTATTTCATGGGTTTTCCTCCTTTATCATCTTTTGCATAAGCTGCAGCTGAGAAAGGGAGCTCAGCAGTGGGAGCTCTGAGTCGACACTGCCTGTCTGGCGGTTTGTAGCCATCCACTGTGACTACATCTAATCAGTCCTCTTCTTGGGAATGTTTTCTGTGCAGGCAGCAACTAAATGTTGGTCATTTATCCTTCCTTTTTTAAATAATTGTGTTGTTCCTCATTAGGGAAAGAACCTCATTTTTTCCTTTCCTGTGAAAACATACCTCAGGTCACAACCTGACAGCTTCAAAATGGGTTAGTTACTGGCCTGCCCTTCAATTTTCTTTTTTTTTCTTGGAATTTTGGCTGACTTTGATAATGGCTTTTTATGAATAGCATGAATATTCTCTGAAATAACTTCCACCCAGATGGATATGTAGAGACTGCTAGGAAAGTATGATATTTTTAAACCTTTTACATACCACGTATTGTGCTCTCCACAGCGAGTCTGTGGATTCTATATACTCTGTACAGGTTGTTTTACTCTTCACCTCTTCAAAGTGAGGACAGAAGAGTCATGACTGAGGTCACAGACAAACAGAAAAATACTCTAGTGAAGGTAGAGTTATTGAAACCAGTGAGAGACTTTAAAGAAAATATTTCCAAGGCTAATTCTGCAGACAATTAAGGACTAAAGTTCTACCAAGCTTTTGAAGGATTGGAGATCCTTGTGGCCCAACATGGTCCAGCCAAGCTTGGGCTGCCCCATTCCATCACAAAACCATACTTTTGTATGATTTGAACATGCTAGATGATTTTCAAGGTTGCCTTTTCAGTTGGCATTTTGTTTATTCCATCAAGATATGGTAGAGTGCCATGGAAGCGCTACTTTAGAGCCATTGTGATGTTATTTTATTTTGTTTTAAATGTATTTACATTACATGAAGGTCTCAGAGACACAGCCTCAGGGAGGACTGAAACGGTGTGCATGGAGCAGAAGAGAAGCATTAGGCTTCTGAAGGCCAACAAGATCTTATTGAAGAGTTTGATGCTGCCAGAAGTGCCAGTTATGATTAGAAAAATCATCCAGCTTCCTAGTCTGATTCAAGACTGGAAGAAGAAGTAATGTCTGATGAACAAAATCTCAGATTGTGATGTGTGAAGTGAGTTACTTGAGGCATTGAAGGAGAGCTCCAGACTCAGCTGAATTGGTATTGCTTCCACTGAGGTTAGTGTGCTCTAGATGATGTCAAGCTGTGATGCTTTCACGCATGAGCCAGTCAGATAATCGTTTTTAGTACAGGGAACAGTAGGATAGGTTAAATGATGCACTGATGTCTGCTCTAGAGAGAACTGGTCAATAGTGTGCTAGGGACATCTTTTACCCTAACAAGGATGAGATTAGATATTATCTGACTTCCTGGTTGTTAAAGGCAATGCAAGTTCATCCAAGTGCTCACTTATACAGCTGTTAACAAAAATTCAAAATAGGTCATGACTTTCAAGTCCTCAAAAGACCAAAATCAAAGGCAGGGGACAGAAGAAGTCAAAGGGCCACCATAGCCTGACGTCTGTAAAATATCAAGAAGTTGGAGAGATAGGAAAGAAGGTTTCAACAAGTGGCTCATGCCCTGTGCTGTAAGAAAAGATGGAAGAATCCTAAATCGTGGCCCAAATGACCTGCCAAAAGTTCTCACTCAGCCCTGAGTCCCACACACAGCTTGATCCTTTGCATGAAAGCCAAACACAAAAGGGTGTGAGCAGGGACCTGGCAGGGTGGGTGGGTAGGTGGCCGCTGTCCGATGGCCAAGGCATTGTCACTGACCATATGCCTGCACCTAACTCTGTCCATTTAAGCCTCCCACTGCCTGAAAGCTGGCTATCTACATGTCTTCAAGGGCATCAGCCTCGGGATTCAGCAGAGGCTTCACATACCCTCTCTTTCTCAGTGATACATGGTGGTATGAGCTGATGTAAATGAGCCAGGTTGGGGTGGGAATGCAACACTGGACAGCCTCTCCTGTACTGGGAATTTGGAGCAGAGATGCTTCATGGCCATGAAAACACTCAGGAAAGGCAAAGTTTAAGTTCATTCAGTGAACTATCACACCATAGTCCCATGATACACTGCCTTTGCCAGCCAAGCTGCTGCAGCCAGCTCCTGCCCCAGATGCTTGTTCCCACCTCTGGCCTGCAGTTTGTCACCTCCTCAGCTGTGCCAAAACAACTGCGTGTACAGCAGTGCTTAAATCAGCACACTGAAGTGATGGAAGTTAAAAATAAACTCCTAGTGGGAGGAGCAGAGGAAGAGCTATTTTTAATTGTAATCACTTCAATGGTCTTTCTTCCAGTGTGGTCCCACAAGGAATTTCATTAATACAGCTGGGAGAAGGCAGTGGATTGCTGTGCTGGCACTGGAGTGACTCCTCCAGGCAGAAGAGTCCCTCCTGGCAGGGGGAAAAGATGTCTGGAGCCAGGATTGCACCAGGGCAGTGTGCTGCAGAATTGCACCTTCCAAGATGCAGAATTGTGACTCCCCTACCTGGGCCAAAACTACACACAGGTGTCCCAGGCTCTCAAGTAGCTATTCTGTCTCCTAGATTCTCACAGCATTCATTAAAAAACTATTGCATGCAAGCCAGCATTACCATTAATAAAAACAAATAAAGAGACACTGAGGTTTTTTCCTGCTTTATAAACAAATACTCCTTGTAATCATTCTGAATACTAGCCTCCTCCACAATTTACTATGGTATGGTTAGATGTCACCCATGAAAACCTATTCAAATACAAAACGCACAGTAAATTGAGAATAAAAAATCATCAGAAGAGATGCAAAACTAGGTTTTATTTAATAAAGTTTATTACATGATGAAGAAAGGAAATATTTACATGTTCCCTAAAAAGCATTAAAAGTTTAAGGAAAACTTCTGAAAAGAGTTCAAACAGTTTCAGTGCAGCTACAACATGAAAATTCACAGAATGGTTCAGCAACTTACTTTTGTTTTGGCTTTGGTCATTTCTGGCTTAGATGATCTTCTCTGTGAGTGATTGACATGTGCAAAGCCTTGGCAATGCCTTGTTCAGGCACCCCAGTGATTTGGTTCTGTTTGAATCCTTCACTTGCATTCAAATGTTCCTGATGCATTTCTCCAGAAGCTTTGTACCAGTGAAACAAGCGAAACACAAGCAGATTTCAAACTGCTGTCACCTTTTGAAATAAATAATTAATTACACTTCTTTTTGTGTGCCATTAACATTATTAAAAGTTTATTCTGTGATATTGACTGAGTTTCAGAGCACCCCTCAGGAAAATGGGGCAGTAGTTTAACTTTCATCACACAGGAAAATGAAGTCGTGTCCTGAGTCCCACATCAAGACATCCTTCTTTTGGGACTCATGATCTGTGTCTGGATCACACCAGTTCCTGGATGCTTGGGTGTGCAGGCAGGATTTAAATTTAAATTCCTAGACTCTGAGTATGTTTAGTATGTCCTTCAATTCTCTTCTAATAAATAGAACCAAGGACATAGTGAGTCAGTTTTGTAATTAGATTTTATAATTGTTTCATGAACTCTGTACAGATTACCTCTTCTCTGTATTGTTTTTGCAGTGTATTGTTTCTCTTGAATAATATGGCACGTATCCAGTATATACTGCAGTCAATAAAGTACCCCAGTTTATAGTTTGATGGCCCACAAATGAATAACTGACATCAAGAAAAATAATGAAGTCATTGCCCTTTTTAGTCCCATCAGTACTCTTCATTTAAACCACCAAATTTATTTTTAAATATTAGCATGTTTACTTAAAAGCATCTCTTTACATTTTTTTGTTACCAAGAGGTAACCACAGATAAACCATATTGCTCAGATTTCAACAAATTTGTGATTCTAAAGTAGACATTAGCATGTAATGATGTAAAGGAAATTGCATTTTATTGCATTTTAATTAAGCAGGTCAATTTGAGCAGGCCTTTCTCCAGGAATATTCCCATCAGAGTTCAGTCTTTCATCACCAGATTTTATTTATTTCTTGAGCTTTGCACAGCAGGTTTTAGCCTTCCAAGTGGAAGACTGATAAAATAATTTAATCCACTAAAGAGTGTATTTTTGACACATGGAAAAAGTGCTGTTTGGGGTCCATACTCACATTTAGCATTCAGCCAAGGTCTTCCAGGTTTGTTCCTGCTCATTAGGTCCAACAGCATTAAATTCAGGGGGCTCCTTTTCCAGCTGAGAAGTTGGTTTTCCAGTTCTCTCCCTAGGCTCAACCTAGTCAGCTCTGTGCTCCACAAGTCCAAATGCTGAGCAACAGTTAATTTATTTTAGTACAGAATATTTTTAATCTTCTGGTAGCTACAGCACACAACAATTAGTTTCTCCTCTCTACCCTTATTGGAAGAATCACTTGTGAAAGATATGTCACCTTCTGGACCTCAGAGGCACATGTAGTTCCAAGCAGGCACAAGGAAAATACATTCTTTCCACTTCTCACGAGCAGAAATGAAGTAAATTTGTTTGGAAAACTCCTGCTGAAGGAAATGTTATTCAACAATTCCGTTGAAGCTATCAAAACCAAAACCAAATTAATTTGAAAACTTAGCACAGGTCACAGACACAGTTTGTGATTTGAGTAGTAACTATTCTCCTAGGCAGTAGGAACTAAAATAAGAGTGCAGCATAAATCCAGTTTCAGGCTGAATCACACCCCTCTCCAGTTCCATGAGTGAAATATCTTGGAGCATATTCATGCAAGCCCCTACCTTTAAAATGAAAAAGTTTAAAATCTTCAACCCAGAGCACAGGCAACAGTTTCAGCCAGCACAGGGGTTCCTTCTTTCTCTGTGCCCTGCTGACCAAGGAGAAAACCAGAGGTTTTGCTGTCATTTTTGGTGGCTGAGAAAGAATGAAATGCTGAAATTTTGGCTTCTGGTCCAGGCGTGGCAGACCTTTCCTGCCATTTCAGATGAGAGCCTGTTACCAAACTGAAAGAGAAAACAAAATACAGAGCACTTTTTTTCTGCCCTTTCAAAATGAACTTTGTTGCATATTCAATTCCAAGCTGATTTTCTTTAAAGGGCTAAATACTTCAAAAACCACACAAAAAAAAATCTTAATTTTGGATAATATGAAATGCTTTGATTGATACAAAAATTGTTGGAGGGAAAGAGTTTGGCTTGATTTAAGTATTGGTTGGTAAAGCTGTGTCCCTAGAGCCCAGCTGGTGGAGTGGCACTGCATAGGGTGTCACCTATGGGGCATTTGGGGGAAAGCTGAAAATAGCCAGGGAAAAGCCCTGCAGCCAGCTAAGCACGGCTGAGTTTTCATCTCCAACACTCCGAGGCTCTGACAGCCCTACCTCTGTTGGATTTATCTGTGACGCCATGAGATGCCACTGATGTCAGGGCTCGTGGTTGTCCTTTCTGCTGGGGTCACTGGCCCCCAGAATTAAGTGGAAGTTTGTAGGGGTGTGCTGGCCGTGGAGCTGGATCTGCCATCTGTAGTGTCCAATGGCATGGCATCTGTGTCATAAAGAGGGGCTGTTAAACCTGACAGAGCCTGACAGAAATAGCAGAGAGCACCTACATTACCTCTGCTGTTAAGTTCCTTACAGGAGCTATGGTAGTTGCTGAGCTAGTGCTGATGAGGTTTGGGACAAACAGCAGAAAACCCTGCATTAGCTGACCAAGTATCCTTCTGAAGTTTGTATAAGAATCTGCCTAAAGCCAGTTTAGTGAAGTTGAAATCATGACTTGAAGGGCCAAGCAGCAATTCTTGCTGGTAAGCTCAGAAGTGAACCGTTGGCAAGGTTTATTTCTGCAGGAGGTCTGTGGCACTGGCTCTTCACGTTTAAGTCATCGTGAACAAGGACAAATTTCAGCTGAAATGAGTAGCCTTAGACCTTTTTAGGATTTGAATAAATGAGCAGAGACACAGAAGTTGGGCTTCTTTGTATGCCCCATTTCACATATCCTATCAGAAAAAAGCAAAATACAGTAATGTTACAAAGAAAATGTGCTGCTGCAAAGCAAATAACCTTTGTAAATTTATACTAAAACTGTGTTGTTGAGACTTTTAGATTATTATTTCGGGAGTGAGTAATAAAGTGCTGCTGAACTTATGTTTGATTGTCATTGGCAAATCCTAAATGCATCATCCAGGTATCATCCTGGTTACTGATGAATGCTAGCAACTCTCTGAAGTTATCCTGTAACACCGTGGCATGGTATTTTCTTCAGAGTTTATTGAAAATGCATAGGTCCTTTTTTTTTTTTTACCCTTGGAAATAGTAGTCTCTCTATACATCACATCGATTTATTCTGAGAATTGCTTATTCAGGAAAAGGCTCCTAACTCTATCCATATTAAGAATACAAAAAAAAAAAAAGTAAATCTCGAACCTCAGTAACATTAGGATTACTCCTATCTCCTTGTTACTGTGTTCCATCTTTAATACTAAAACTATTTTGTCCATCAAAAAAGACAAAACAAGAAATTATTACTATGTGTGAATGTAAAAAATGTAAGAAATTACAGCAAGAACAAACCTTACGTATACTGGGCTATGCTACTTCTTGCTCATCTAATTGGAATGAAAAGAAAGTCGTTTGACTCTTTAAAGTTCAGTCATCTGTGACCTCTTAAAATCAATCAATACCATCAGGGGAACAATATATTACAACCACCTAGTTTTGGGACGATCGGCTTTTTAATTGTTCTTTAGCCTGTTTGCAGATGCTGGCGTCCTTTACTATTGAATTGTAAATTCAATGTGAGCAGCAATAACGGATACATAAACCCAACCTTTTCCTAAAGTAATCGAAAAATGTGGATTATTTGCACGCCCTCTTCGGTCGTGGAGGCTTAGGCGAAATGGATAAACACTGGCAGTGATTACACGAACGAAATGGAAATTGCGGTATTCCCACGTCGAACGCATATATTTATACTTCTAACTGCAAATAGAGGGCTGTGTCCGCCAAGCCATTAGCACCGCGGGGAAGAAAAGCAGAAGGGGATGAAGGCGTCGCCTCCCCGGAGGTGAATTAGCAGCATCGCTTATCTTCGGGCCGATGGGATGGNAGGAGCGCGGCAGCTTCCCCGGATCCAGCGGGTCTCTCCCGCCCCTGTGCCTCCCTCCCACGGCGCTGAGGGTCGGAGGGGTCGGGATTCACATTTTCCTGAGGGAAAGGACGGGTGCCAGGGCAGCCGCAACGCGGTGTAACGCGGGGGAAGCAGCCCGGAGCTCCAGGGCCAGGCGAATTTTCTGCTCCTGTGGGGCAAAACGCGGCTGCAAAGCCGCAGCTACGCCTTGTCCCGTGTCAAAATTGTGGGAAAATTGTAGCCGAAATGTATTTTTTACGGCTAAATATTAGACAGTTTGATAAAGCTTTCTTAGCGGTACTCGTAGAGATGCTAAAACAGTATCTAAAATTAAAACTTTATTTTGTTTTCTTTGGAAATAAGTGTAGTACTCACTCTCTAAGGGGAAAAATATTGTCAAGGCAGAATTTATTTCTGCAAGCCCGAAGGCAATTCTATAAAATAAATAGCCGAGACAAAATACTGTTTAAGTTCCAGAGTCCTTGACGTCCTAAACATTTTTTCTAGTTACAGTCTTCAATGGCGCTTTTAGTGCAAAGATTAATAAATCTTAGCGATGTGCTAAGAGCTAGGAGCTGACACCGTAAGTTGAACTGTGTTCTCTGGGCTGTGCCGTGTGCCCGTTCCTCTTTAGCGCCTAATAATTCGCAAACGAAGGGAGGAGAGAAGCGTGTTTGGGTGGGTGCGGGCCAAAAGGCCGAGTTTTTCTCAGCTCAGTGCCTGCCGTGGCACCGCAGCCCACTCTCCAAAGCTGCTCGACCTTTACGAGCTCGCTTTCGCTGTGCATTGAAACCTTAGAGAATAACCCAATGAGGAATTTAGGCAGGTAGGAGAGGGACGAAATAAAAAATCAGTGACGAAGCTCTGAGTCTGAAACATATGTTCCCAGACTCGACTCGAAAGCTGCTGTAAAAATCCAAACATCTCCTTTTATTATTTCTGCACAACGTGGCACAGTCTATGTAAAACAAGTATTTATTCCCTCCTCCCCCGAAATATGGAAATATGGAGAGGTGAATCACAACAGGGATTCACATGGGTGAAAGCATGAGCTTTTATAGGTGGGTTTTTTCTCTGTTTTTTTTCCTTTTTCTTTTTTTCCCCCGTGCTTTTATACCTTTTTTCCCCTTTCAGTAACTATGAAAGGAGGAGGCACAATACTGCTTATTTTTCCATTTCCTCTATTTCCTACAAACCAGCTCTAATTTGACCAAATAGCAGAGGAGAAGCAGCCACTGCCCCTCGCTGCCTTGGCACACCAGGGCCCCAAACGTTGCCTCCAAACTAGAGGCTTTACCAGTTGTGAGGCATTTAAAGGCATTTTGAGAGGCGTTTTGAGAGGCATTTAAAATAAGAATTAAGGTAGAAAAGTTCTTGCCCAGCTTCGACCCTGGGGAATATTGGGCAAAACGACATATCCAGCTCCCAGGGTGGCTCTGGAAGTGGCTGTTCTGACAGCCACCTCACTCTGCTCCGCTCTGAAGGCAAGCGCACCTCCCTTTCCGCCTTGTGGGCACCACGGAGGGGGTTTCGCCCCTCGATCGCACCCCAGGCGGATTTCCCAAGGGTCAAATNGGGATGGGATGGGATGGGATGGGATGGGATGGGATGGGATGGGATGGAATGGGATGGGACCCGCCCTGCCGGGACCTGCCTCCGACCCCTCCATCCATCAAAAGGAGGGAGAAGCCTGCGTCTGCGGGGATGGCAGGCAACGCCAAGGGGGCACACGCCTTTTGCCCGTCCATGGGGCCCCACAAGTCTCGTTGGAAACCTCTCCCCATCTCCTCGGTCCCCATCCTACCTCCCGTGGCATGCTTGCTCATACCTTCCCGAGGCAGGAGCCGCTCACTTACTTTTGATAGCAGCGAGGAGCAAGGCTATTAATAGGCTATCTAATTACCCCGAGCTGCTAACTCTGAAATCTCGCATTCTGTGATGTGGTTGTTTTGATTTGATTTTCCAATCTAGTAGCGCTTGCATGTACAGAACTGGTCAGACTCGCTCTGGAGGATATTATTTTAACGTTTAAAAATCTACTTTCGTTCCAAGCAGGAACAAAGTTCCCAAATTTTGACGTTTCACACGAAAGCAGCAAGCTGAAACATTATTAGTTGGGATGGAGGGAAGCGGTTTGCTTGTCTAAGATTACGAATGTCGTTGTTTGGGAGTTTATTATGATTATAATTCGCACGTGTTGTCAGACTTTTCGGTCAGGCAGGTAAATGGGGAGGAAAGCGGTTTCGAAAGGGAAGGCGAGAGGTTGCCACGATGCCAAGAGAAACGGAGCGGCCCCGCCGGCGCTCAGCGCGGACACGCACGGAACGGAGCTACCCCCGAAAAGTGCTTCCAAGAGAACATGTCCATTTTGATCTGTGCAAAACATTTCACTGGAAGTCTGTGACCTGTTCTGATGGTTTCTTTTATTTCCTGGACAGAGAAGTAAGAAGACAACCGTGTGGGGGGTTTCCCCCCATGCATGCAGGTTTCGATGCATGCTTAAACCGATATTTCCTCCAAGGTGTGCGGCAGCGGCGACAGCCGTCCCAGGGAACAGTCGGTGATATTTTTAGTTCGGTTGTTTTTTGTTGATGTTTTGTTCTGTTGTTTTTTGTTGGTGTTTTGTTTAGATTCATTTTTGTTGGAGTTCTTTTGGGAGGGGTGGGTTTAAGAGAGAAAGAATTACCTCTCTGCGCTGCGGGCGCGGGGGCGGCGGCAGGGTAGCTAATTGTAGATCGGATTTGATATTGCCTAACATCCGTGATAGAATACGGGGGGAGGATGAGGAGAAGAGAAGCTCGGCTCTGAAGCGCCGGGGAGGAGCAGTGCGGCTCCGCCGTGCCCCGCGTTCCCGGCTCTCTCCCACAACGACCTCTCTCAGCAAGAAACTTTTCCCCGGGTTTTCCTGTCAGAGCCAGCAGAGGAGAGCCCTGAAAGCCTTCCCAGCGCCCAGACAGGAACAGACAGTGATCCCCGGGAGACGGGGCGGCGGGAAGGGCTCTGGGCTCCCATCCCCGCACCTCCCTGTTCCCCTCGACGGGGCGGCGGGACCCAGGGTAGGGGGCCTTTCCTTCTGGCCTCGTTGTCTCGAAACGGGTTCTTTCAATAGGTGTGAAAGCCGATTCGCACACACAGCCGAGGTGCTTGATTTATCTACAGTTGTGCGCAGAAAGGGGTACTGCAGTTAAAAATAATACACAAAATTCCTCATCGCAAGCAGTGAGTGGAACACGGCCGCCATGCTTTGTAGCAAAGGCACTGAGGTGCCCGCTGATAAAACGGTCAGAATTAGGCCTTTTTAGTCACAGATTCTCAAAACCTTTAAAACGGCCGAGGAGCAATAAAAGTAATCCCTAACTCATTCTCAAAGTCCCTGTGTGTGTTGGAAAGAGACAAAACGTGCATGCGCTGGTTGGACAGAAGGAGCTGAATGGTGTTCCTGAGGGTGCTGCGGGGTCCCGGCTGCCTCCCGCTCACCCCGGAGCCGGGGGGCATCGCCCTCGTCCTGCGCGCCCGCCGGGCTCGGCGTGCGGGTACCGCGGAGCGCCGCGAGTCAGGTTACGCGGCAACAGAGCCTCCTCCGCGCGTTTTGTTGATCTTATTTGTTTTTTTTTTTTTTTTTAAAGGCTGAAATCATTAACCAGCCGGACCTCAGAGACTGGAGGGAGGGCAAATAAAAAGAAGCTACAGATCGTTATTTAAAAAAAGCTCCCAAACCTAAAAAAACCCAACAGAACAAAAAAACCCCAACCACACAGAAACCACACATGTGGGCACGTATTGCATAAATGTCCGTGCGGGGTCTCTGCTGCCTGATGCTTACTTGAGAGTCAAGTGTTTAAAGACACGGTGGAAATCACCCAAAAGCACGCAGCAGCAGGTCAGGGGGGCCGCTGATTGCCGTGGGGAATATCCTTCTGCCCGCTCCTCGCCGCCGGGCACGGCTTCAGCCTGGTAGCGGGCAGGGTTCCGAGAGCCAGGTCGGGGTGCCCTGCCCCGAGGGGCCCGCTGTGTGCCACCAGCGAGGGCGGCTGGAGCTGAAGCTCGGCCTCTGAGCGCCCGGCAGCCCTTCGTTAGGAATTTCGGGGAAAGAAAAAATAATCCCTCCTCATCCTTGATAGTTTGGGGGTCCGTCCTCGTCGTGGGACACAACTGATCTATCGCAAAGGTCGCGTTCACCCTGCCCGTGCTGTGATGTGTGTAGGGGGTCTCGCTGCTTTGGACGTCAATTTTGGCTGACCACCACCCTTAGCTCCCCGGGCCGTCCCACCCGGCCCGAGACGGAGGTGATGGGTGATGTCACAGGCCCCTATCCCTCTGAAATCCATCCCTTCCCGGGCGGATGCGGATTGCTCCCGCCGCCGTTCCTGCGCGGCCGGCAGCTCCGGCTGGGCTGAGCGCTCCCGAGAGCCGCCGGTGCCCGATAGATATGTCCGCTCCAATGTCACAGCCGCTGGGCAATGGAAACACTCCGTATCGTGGGGTGGCCTTGATAAAAGTATATTTTAAGTAGCGCGGATAAGCGAAGGGGAGAAGAGAGGGGGAGAGGTGCCGGCACGTCGCCCGTAATAACCGCGGCGCTTATCAGCCCGGCCTAAACTCCCCAGCAGTTTCTAAAGTACATTAAGTTACATAAACACGTCTCGGAAAAGAATACACTCCAGCCTGCGATAGCCACCAAAGTGACCCCTCGCACGGCCCGGCAGCCGAGCCCGCCGGGCCCCCGCGGCCGCAGCAGCATCGGGGCCCGGCCCGCGGGCCATGCCCGGAGCTCCCGGGGCTCTCCGGGCCGAGGGGCAGCGAAGGTGCGGCCGGACCGAGCCTTCTCCTCCTCCCTAGGGCACCCCTGGTAAGGGATAACGCTTGCAGAGACCAGAGAGTGGGGGAAGGAACAACAGCTCAGCGCTTGCACACGGCTTACCCCCAACCCTTTTTTGGGAGGCTGAAGTGCCCGCGAGGGAATTTGCCTTAATTGGACACGAAACTTTTTTCCCCCCAATCGGCCTTCTTCCCTCTTTGGGCGCAACCGCCAGGAGCGATGGTCACCTCGTTGGCACCTCCTCCCCGGCCGTGTCCTCCCGCAACCGAGCACCCCCTGGCCCCAAAAATGTCCCTGCACAGGCACCCCGGGTACCCAACCCAGGTGTGGTGCAGGAGACACCCGGGAGCCTCCCGGAGCCCCGGGGTGAAAGCGACGTCAGCAGAGCGGGATTTGGGAAAGGAGTGACGTAACGAAGAGTTAGGAGTCTGTGATTTGAGCGGTTCCACAGCGAACCCGAAACGAAAAGGAGTGGAGAGGAAAGGGGTGACTGGGAATCGTTTCCCACGCCGGTCTCCCAGTTTAAGGCGGATTTTCTTATCGTGTTTATCGGAGGAAATAAAATGAAGCTTGTAGCCCGGCTATAACGTAAACAGGCTAATCGGCAGGGAAAAAACCCAAGGCGCCTGAGTGTAAAACACGGGTCACTTTGGAGCCAGGGAAAGAGGCGCCTGCCAGGCCAGCGTGGCCGCTCTTCCCAGCCGTCCTCACCTTTCGGGCAGGCACCCTCCGGGCCCGGCGGGTCCCCACGGCCCCACATGGGGACATGAGCACCGGCAAACCCCTCCCAGCTAGCAAAGCCCGTCGCTTGAAAAAAAACCTCACGGTATTTATCACTTTATACACGTGTTTGAAACACCCTCGTGTTCAACTGGAAAACGGGCATCCAAAAGACTGAAGGAAAACGCGAGGTTTAAAGCTCGGCGCTTTTCAGCACAGAGATTCGTAGTGGCAGCACCCAAGCTGCGGAAAAGCGGCGTGGGCTCCGAGTCCCGCGGCTTCCACTGCTCTTGTCTCTCATTTGCAGGTAAAAACCACGGCAAAAACGTTTTACGTTTCAAACTAGGATCGGAAGACGAGCCGGGCAGAAAGCAAATCACTGCCCTGTCTTGCAAAAGCTTATCTTCTATTAAATATTGCACTCGCTAAAATACACCTATAAGTAACTAGGAAAAAAGTCACTTCAGCCTGGTAGGATGACCGATATTATTTAACGATATTATTTAGAGACAACTGACAAGAAAGAAACATCACCTTTAATCATACAATTTAATAAAGAAACGGTTTCTCGGGAAAGTGATTGTTTTCCGATCAAGCCCCTGTCGCGCTATACCGCAAAAAATACCGCGCACAATAAACTCCCAAGTCACAATCAGTTCACCCACGCCGGCAGAGCGGATCACTACAGCCGGCGTTTTACCGTACCCCCAGCACTGCAAATTCTTCACCTCCCGTTCACCTCGCCTGGAAAGAGCGAAAGAAAAGCCGTGCCTACCCCAGGAGCGACAGCACGGCGCATCAGCAGGTTTGGGCTCGGTTTCTGCCGGGAGGGCTCACGTCTGCCGGCCGCCGAGAGCCCGGCTCTGCTCTAGTCCAGCCCTTTGCCGCAGATGACTTTCTGTACAAACTGATGATGACAGATATCCAGCTGATAACCTCTGGTGAACGAAGTTATTTTAATTTCCAGTCACTTTCCTGCTAAGTACCATATCAGTTTGTACACAGCTGAGATAAGAGGGTTGAGGAGCGGGGGGGTAATAAGAAAGAAACAGAGGAAAAATGCCTACCGCCAGCTGTTGGGATGGACACATCCCACAGCTTGCTTTGGCTTCACCTGATGGTCGGGGCAACTCAAGGAGGAGCCACATTTTTTCATCTCGGATAGCTCGCATTTGGACGAGCACAAACTAAGGAGATTTGACGGAGGGATACGTCCGCCTGGTTGCTTAGGGCAAAAGCCAGGCACACATCACCCCCGGGGCCGCTGCCAGGGGACATTCTCTGACATGCCAGAGAAGAACATTACAGAAGTTGAATATTCACCATTAAAAAGAAAAAATATATCCGGGAAGGAGGGAAGAGTGTGTATTATTTCTGGGTTAAAATAAATTAAACAAACAAACAAACAAAAAAAGAGACTGGGGTATCTGTCAGCCCTCTGCGCTCGTTCCTGCTCCCCGAGCAGGGGTCCGTCGCCCC